GTCGGGGGGGTGGGCTGTCGGTAGATTCTGAAGGTTCGTTCTGAGCGCCAGAAGATCCTACATTCCCCGCTCAGCTTCTTAGTCCAGGCCCACTGGGTTTTAGCTTCGAAAGACCGTAGAGCCGATAATGCTGTGCGTCAGCAAGGCAGACTATGAAGACGGCGAGCTCTGATGAAGAGATTGCTTTCAAGCAGAAGGAGAAGGCCCCTCTACAGTTGAAGAACTCCAACCCCTAAGCCAGGGAAATTGTCTCAACTTATCCTCAACTCGACAGGTCGACAGTATGCCCTCTGAGACTGCACGCCCGCTTGGCTCTTGCATCCTAGTTCCTCTGCGCGTGCAGCAACAAGAACTGGGAATGTCTTGCTTGCCTCTTCTCCCAAATCCCCGCATCTCAAACTACTCGGCACTGGCTCCCAGATTGCTGAGGGTCTTGAGTCTGGTGAGTGACGCTTGCATCTCGGAATCGTCGTCCCTGTCACGGCAGCATGTCTCAGCGTGTCATCTCAATCGTTCGGAGCCATGCCTGTGAACCTCGAGAGCCAGATCCTCCAAAGGCACTGCTCAGCTGAAGCCATTAGCCCGAAGTGCACAAGCAAGCAACCCACGGAAAGAAACCCAAACCCGGAAACCGTCTAAGGGCAGCGTTCCGAAATTTGCTGATGTCGCGCTGCTGTTAAAAAGGCTGGGAAAGATTCCCTGCTGCAGGATATCCAGTCCTACACCAGGAAAGTCAAGAAGCTTTTCCAGACAATGGATGCTGGGCACTGCATAATTCCTGCCTCATTCCGTAGTTTCCGAAGTTCGAAGGCAGATGGTCAGGGTGTGGCTTCTCATACCGTTGAAAACGCCACCGAACAAAAAGCGACTCCCATGAACCGTTCCCCACGACCTCACTGAAAGAAGACCAAGGATGCGTCAGGAGACGGCGCCATCAACCTCACAGCGCCACGGCAAGAGTACAAAGTGCCAGATCCGAAATACGAACTGTGGTTTTCGCAGTGGTCCGTCATGATTGTCACCTGTTAAGTTTACTCGACGACATCACTGCGGCTGATGCTAGTGGACACTAATGGAGGCAGTCTTGGCGCGGAAGATTAACTTGATGCGAAGGCGGTCTTGTACATAGACCTGATGAAAATCATGGTCTGAGAATGAGAATGACGGCCAACAGGACAAAACATGATAATAATGAGGATGATGATGCTGTTGGTGGTGGTGGTGGTGGTGGTGGTGGGTACCATGATGGCTGTGTAACCGTGACAACTACACAGGCAAGTTTGTACAATAATAGTAACAGTGGCAGCAGCAGCAGCAGCACCACCACCACCACCACCACTGCACTGCTCGGTACCAATGCCAACTGAACAAGACTCGATGCAAGGGAGTGCGAAGGCTAGTGGCAGTAGGCAGCAGCAAGAGCAGTTGCAGAAAAAGTCGTCGTCGCCGTAGTAGTTGTAGTAGCAGCTGCGGCGGTAGTTACTGTTGGAAGCAAAGCAAAGTACAAGAATAGAGTAGAGTCAGGGGTGGAGGAGCAGGAGGAGGAGGAATCAGTCCCAACTGCAGTACAAAGAAATCCTCGCCTGGTTGTGATTTTAGCGAAGACAGGGCAATCATGCTCCCAAGCTCTCGTCCAGGAGTTTTCGAAGCTGGTACAATCTCCAAAACTGAAATTCTGGATGGGCCAGCTTGAGCTGGAGTACCACGACCTACTCAGCCTCTTCGAGTGCCTCGCTTCCCTGAAGGTTCAGGGTTCAGATATGCCTTCTTGGTGCCTTCTTGGGGTTTGAAGTGTCGAAGCTTTTCAAGAGCACCTTGGTGCGGAGAGGCCTTCAAACAAGGTGGGCATTCGGGGCTTTCTGGATTTGACTGTCGGCTTCATCAGATCACAACACTGGGAAACTGCGGAAGCCGAAGTGAGGCGCCATAGGCCGATCAAAATTGAGCCTTACCATCGAAGCCTTACCCCAAGAGTCAGATCCTTGGGGATTGTGTTATTTCGCCGTGCGTCATTAGCTGCTGCAGATTGCAGAAGGAGTCTAGCTGGCTTGTCATTTAGGCCGCCGTCGGGCAGGGCTTCAGGGCACCTGGTCCGGCGCAAACCCCGAGGTTTCTGGATAACGGCGATGGTGAGATCACTCTCATGGCGACTCTGATGCACCGTGAGTCGGCTTAAAGGTGCTCCATACTTGAGGGCTTGAGCCCTGGACTGTTGCTTCAGAAAGGAACACCTGGAACCGGAAGGCTTACGAAGCAAGCTGACAAGCTTTGCGTGCGAGCAACAAGAAGACAAGTCCATAACTCCTGCAAAGTTGGACTCGAAAGCCACTTGCCAAAGAGCCCCGAGGGCCCTCAAGAATCCCAGGCCTTTAAATAACAAGCAAGGCTCCGGAAGTCCTGAACTTTTGGGTTTCCAGACGTCTCCAGGAGTTCATTGACGGAGCCGCACGGCTCAGGGGTAGTGCTTCTTGGCTGCAGCTGTCGCCGTTCTTCGTTGAAGACTGAATTATTGAACGGACTCTTAAGAGGTGCGGGTCGGATGTCAGATCAGTGCCTTGTTGTTTGAAGCTTCGGTTCTTCTCCGAAAGGACCGTTTCTTGCATGGCACTTCACCGTTTCAGCGTGTCCCACATTCACGGCCCCTGCCCTCCGAATCCTGAACAACTGATGCCGCCGCAAAGCGCCGTACGTCGCGCAGGAGTTCGCGCAGGTGTATGTACTACACACCGTGGCACAACACGGCATGTTCTTGTTCTGTATGTTGCATGGCAAATGTTGAGCAAAGTACATGCAGCACATGCATGCATACGTTTACACGGAGAGAGAGAGAGAGAGAGAGAGAGAGAGAGACAGAGAAATGCACATCTAGATGTAGCTTCCCAGATATGTCGATAGATGGGCGAGCAGATGGGGGTCTCTTTGCAACATCCGCATGTAAGCGGGCATGCGTGCGCGCATTTAAATATACATCTATCTATTATCTTTCTAGGTACGTAGGTGTACGTATATGTGTGTAAGTATATACATATACACATAAATACATACATACATACATACATACATACATAGTCGCATGCATATTTATCAACACCTGCGTGTGCAGGCATAGTCGGTGTGTTGAGCGCACTGTCTTCAAGAATGCAAGGCGAAAGCGCTGGATATCTGGCGCGTGGAGACCAAGGTTGAGGCAGCCTCCGTTCGCATGGCCCATGCTTCCTTCATCGAACCGCACAGGCAACAAAATAGCCCCAAGCAAGAGGATATCTAGTTCTGCAATGCTGGGAACACTCAAAGACACGCCTCCACACTGCAACCCTGTTGATGCCTGGCAGGCACATCTTTCGTTGTTGACAGCCGTCCTTGACCTCCATACTTGTTTCGTGACAGTGTCCTACTGAGCCCCTCCAGGAACTGCTCGCTGTTTGGCAAGGGCTTCATCTGACACATCACAGTAGTCGCAAGCCAGCCCAAGAAGCTCGAGGTGCTCTTCGAGGAGGTTTTAAAGCTCCTGCAGCCAAACACGGACTCGGTGGGCTTGCAGCCTCTCGGTTGCAGAGGCTGCAGCTCGATTTGGTGCTCACTGTCGGGTCGTGTCTGTAAGTTTGTATGTAGCATCGTAAGAGCTTTGTCAGAGGACGAGCCAGTGTTGTCGAAGGTAATGTGCTGAGGTTTAAGCTGCAAAATTTACTTCAAGTCAACATGATCTCCGCTTGTTGCTTGGCACGTTTGCGACCTTGATGAAGGTTCTTGCAACAGTGTCCACAGCTTGTGCTAAGCATGTTGGAGATTCCATGAAGTTACCTATGAGCAACCGAGGAGCGTGCAGAAGGTGTTCAACAACTCGTCTTACAGCCACATAAAGACGACGCAGATGGTGCGACAAACTTCTTAATATTTTTCATCCCCTCCTCCTGAGAATCAGGAGTTGTTGCTACGTGCTTGCTTCGCTGCATCGTCCTTAGAGGGCGCGGCAGAAGAACACAGGGAGTTCAAGCAGACGGTGTGCAGATCCCTGCAGTGTTTCGTCGCCTGTCCCAGCAGCACTGCTTTCGATTCATGGCTGCGAGCCATGAACGTGTATGCCGCATCCCCACGTATGGTTGGCCTTTGCAATTTTTTATTTGCGAAGACTCACGGGATACAGAGCAACGTAATGGACAATCGACTATGACACTGGACTGGCACATTGTTGTGGACTGGAAACTGAGAGACTAGCGAGGCTCTGCTGCTGCCGGGCGTTGACATGCCACCCTGTTTCACGTCGTTGGTGACGCATTTTGCCTGCGACATTCGATCAAAATTAGCCAGACGAGAGTTAGATACTGGGAAAGGCCAGCACCGGATCATCATGTACCGCTGTCGAGACATGTCCTTCGCTGAAACCTGTCCCTTAAGTGTGGGACAAATCTAATCAAACAATAGAGGCATTCACTTCTGCGATTTTTTGCTGAGAGTTTAGACCTCTGGACGTGAGGGGTAGGAAGAAGATTCGGGCTCACTTGCGGGTTTGGTGATTGCAGGCTTTGAGTTGAACACAATTGCAAAAGCCGTTGGGACATGGACCGTCATGCGCCATGAAAAACACGCAGCCGCGGTTTTTTCCGGCAGGTCAGCTCGGAAGGGACCTCTTCAAGATTGCAAAGTCCCGAACTGCCCATACGGGCCCTAGAAATGCAGGGGCTGCCGCCGTCTTTGCAGTCAGCACGACCCGTCGAATGACGGGCACAGCGGTCTGATTCTAGTGGCTCGCAGCCGTAAACAAGCGCGCATTCCATTTTTTCGAGATTCTAGCGGTTTTCCTGGATACATGGCATAGTGCCCTGCGGGCAGCACTGAACGTTTATTCCAAGAAGGATAAAACATTCCCTTGGCTAGATGGGATACGCCTGCCGAAGGGACTGGGGGTGCGTGCCCTAAGCTTTCACTTTGAGCAATACACATATTGGCCCAAAAGCCACAGTATCAGCTATGCCCCAGAGAAAGGCAAGTCTGCATCTCAGGCAATCGAATCCATGGAGGGCGTGGAGGAGTTTGTGCCGCGTCTTCCCCAGGCTTTGGCCTATCAGGGCTCTTGCCTTGCGTGAAGGCTTGAAACCTGCCAACAAGCCTCAAAGCACGTGTCCAATGTCTTAGTGTTAAGTACCCACCCTTTGGCCGGCTGCAGCGAACTCCTGTTGGGGCTGAGGATGACGAGTTTTTGGACTGTGTGATCTTATTTCCAGTGACAGTGCTTGTTGCAATTGCCTTTGCGCAATGCACCGGGAACTACAGTCCAAACCCTTTCAATAGTACGCTCTGCTCAGGTCCTTGGGGACCCCAAGTGTGGTTTGTCACTCTCAGGCCCAGAATTCCAACGGTCTTCATCCTCGCAGTCCAGCGCCGAGCGTACAGCCTCTGAGAAATTGGAGTTTGGATGTAAGGCAGTGAGAAGAGCTGCTTTGCTCCGGGCTTTAGGCAAACATCGAAAAACTAGCTATCCTTTCAACCTTAAGCCGCAACCTGCCGTGGCTCATGGGGCTCAGCTGTGCGATCCTTTTTCGCGTAGGCCCTGAAGAACCCAAAGTCTCCACTCGCTCCGAGGATCAGGGACAGGCGTTGCCAGACTCCCAGCTTTGGCTTCGGGATCTGGGTTGTCAAGCGTGTTGCGGTAACTGAACTGCGATGTCAGTGGGCATGCATGACCCTGAAGCCTCCAACCTCAAATCCTTCACTTTGTGCAGATCTAGGTCCCGTCACTTGAAGAGCAGAGTACACATGGCGAAGGTGGGCGCTGACGGCACGGGGCTCGGTGATATGGTGCTGTGAAAGATTTACTTGATGTGTTTGAGGTGTTTAAGATTCTTTCTGCATGAAAACGTTGGTCAATCGTTGACGTGGACTTGCTTGTAAAGTGCAAGGAAGAAGATTCGTCCTTGCAGAGCACAGAATTTACCGGTCAATGTTTTTTTGTTTCAGAAATACTCATTGCACAAGTGTATCTGTCGTATCTCCTTCTTACACGGGGAACATGTCTATCGTCAACGATTCCCTGTTACGTGCAGCATCTTTACGTGTCGCATGCGAAGTAACTTCCCCTCGCATGCGCTGCCTGACCTGTTTCTCCGTCGCATGGTGGTGCTGCACTGACTTCAGTGCAGGTGCGAGAAGAGTGGGTGTTTGTTCCGCCCGTACCTCTATAATGCAGATCATCAGCGATGACCGCCGATCACAGAGTAGTTCGTTCAAGAGGTCATGGTCTGTACGAAGACTGCAAATTTCATAGTCAGAAGCATCAGAAGTTTTCAACCATCTTGTGCGGTGCCCGGGCTGGCCTACACCTTCCAACGACTCTGCTCCTATGTGGAGGAGGAGGAGGAGGAGGAGGAGGAGGAAGCCTCCTGTACACTTGTAGCAAAGTCTACACGGTATGCGCTGCTTCCCAACGCACAAAAACAGTTAATGCCGTCAGTATCCGTCCATGGATGCTCTACTCAGCAAGCGCGGGGCAAATCACAGCAGATACGACCATGTGTGGTGCTACTGCCGCAACACTCAGAAACGACTTCTACTCCTCCTTCTGCTGCAACTACTACTGCTGCTACTGCTAGCACTGCTAGCATTATGTTTGCTACCACCACTACCACTACCGTTACTGCCGTTACCACGCCTACTACTACTACTACTACTACTACTAGTAACTACTGCTACTGCTACTATTGTTATCTCTACACCTGCTCCTGCTGTGTGTCTACCATTTGTTCGGAAGCAAACTGCAATGCAAATCCGTGTTGAGGCTTGGAAATGTCAAAGCCAATTCAGTCGACCGTGGTTTTTCATTGCAACGAGGCCTGGATTGTCATCGTAGGCTTGGGCTTTCGGGGCAGCGGTTGCGTTCGGTGCTTGTGCAGTCACAAGATCTGGAATCAGGGAAACGAGCTGGCTACATGCATGGTAACGGAGAATCCTATGGAACATCCAAACTCAGGCCGGTGTTTCAGAGTCATGAACTCGAGCAATATGCTCGTTTCTCTTCCCAAACACGCAAGTTTGCACATAGCCAACCCGAGACGTTGAACTCCTGCTCTGCACAAGCCCAGTGTCATTTGCACATTGAGTCTCGCCTAGAATCTTTCGAGGGGTCGCTTGATACTCTGGGCCCGGAGTTGTAGTTTGCCGTGCTTCGCTGCGGTGCCTGAGTCCATGCGAGGAGTTTCAGACCCGGAAGTCAATGTGCCAGAGCGGCGACACCGTCGACGTCACTCGGTCAAACTTGGATGACTGTTAAACATGAGGCTCGGGGAGTACATGCTTCATCCAGGTTTCGATACGCTTCAGCGAAATACGACCTCCTTCAAGCGTCCAACACGTTTCAGCTACACAGTTTTGAGTTTGACGTATTGTGGTAGTGTAGCGCAGCAAGCTTTCCGGGTTCGTTTCTGTAGATCTCGCGCTCTTTCAACCGTGGAGGATTCTGAAGCAGTGGAACTACACATGCAGTCGAGAACATGTGAGTGATCCTCACGGCCAAGCCAGGAAGCTTCCAAGCAATCAGCGATGTCCGCTGCTATCGACAAGCTTATCTAAAGCAGACTGACAAAGGAGATGTGACGACCGAAGGCACGAGCAGCCAATCAATTGTTGAGCCACCATCGAAAGGTGCTCGTCCGCAGGTGGCAATCGCATCCCAAATCAAGATCCGCTGTGTTTAAGATAAGTTTTCCGCAAAACCTCCCAGCTGCCACTCCACCAAACACTCCTCTCCAGAGGTGAAACTCTGGGTGAAGTCCACCACCTTCGAGCCGAGGTCGGTCGGCAGATGGAAATCTCATGCTCGTCTCTCACACAGGCTTGCCAGATTTCCTTGCCAACGATCCCCATGCCAAAACTTGCCAGTCGGATGCCTTCACATGCTCGTGGCAGCTCAAGTCTCAGTTGGGGATCGGGTAATAGCCGGAGATGGGAACACCTGCACACCTTGCTCAGCCGGCTTCCACGCCGAAAGTCTGTGCACGTGATTTCCAGCTTCCCGGCTCGAATCCAGGCTCCTCTTGGGACGAGCTTCAGATGACAATGGCACAGGCAATTCCAATCGGGCTAGCATGCCTTGCAACCCTAGGCTTGCTTTGAAGCATCACCAACGTTTGCTGCTTCATGTTGCACAATCCTTGATGGCTGCAAACTTGTGATAGCTGCAAATTTGTGATAGCACCCCTCAGTCGTTGTCTGTACTCCAACGACTTTCAAGCTGTACTCCGGAGCTCTCAACCTCGCACAGCATGAACCGGCTCAGTCCACGATCCCCTAGCTCGCATCGTGCAGGCCATGACCGAGCAATCCACGTCGCTGCGGCTGCTCAGGACCTTTTTGCGCAGCTTTGAGCAGCTTCAGGAGTTCGGACCTGTGGGTCCTGAATGAGGCTTGTTGGCAATGTCCCAGTGTGTTGCATATGGGCGCCACCACAAACCCATGAAACGAACGACCCCTTTGGAAGCTTTGTAAAGTTGCGAGCAACTCTTGCGGGCAAAAGAACCTGTTGTCTTGAGTGTTAGTTCATGTCGTAACGGGCAGGCGACTCACCTGAAATCCTGCAACTAAAGCTTTTGGATTGAACATTCCAACAACTATTCAGGGCACACGTCTTGGACGTCTTTCCCAAGAATGGCAGCCTATTGGTGGAGCCCTTAACTGCGCTGGTGGGTCGAGTTTCATGCGCAAGAAAAGCTGCATGTTTGGGTAGCCAAAAATGTCTTCAGTTACCAAAAAACAAAAGGAAGCTGCACTGACACATTGAAAGCTGACAAACTTTCGGCTTTTCGACACCGAAAAACCCTTTCGCAACAAGCCTAGGTGCAGTGGATGAGCGAACAGGACCGGCCAGTAAAGGGGGTGGACGGACGAAAAAGAGTCGGCGAGCCACCTGTCTGTCGGATGCATTTCGATTCTGTGCGTTGTGCGCCACGTGCCGATAAACTTCGTGAAGACTCCTTCCTCTTGAAATTCCTGCAAATCCAAGAAGCCTTCAGCGTAAACCAGTCATGACTGTGTTTGCCCGCAGATCAGGAACAAGATCCCATCCTCGGAAGCATCCCTGGCATGAAGGTGGACGAAGAGGCATGACAAGATATGTGTTAGTGGTCTTCGGACCGATAACGACCTTCCTCCGCTTTGCAACTGCGCAGGCCATTGCGTTGGTTCCGTTGGGGTCTGCCTTCCGCGATGGCGTGCTGTGCAGCAGCGCAGGGGTCCCAGAAATCTGAAAATCAAAGCTGCAGGCTCGGAGATTGCCGCTTGTGTTTGAACAGCAGCATCGCACCATTCCGCATCATTCCAGAAAGCGACAGCCGAGGCACCCAACGCCTTCATCGAGAAACTCCTTGAACCCATGAGCTGCCAGGTCCAGACGACATGATCTGGTGGTTTGCAGACTTGGTGGGTTCTCATTGAGGGGCTTCATTGCCGCATTGTCGCTACAGGCTTTCCAAACATAGTTTCGAGCCCACGTTTTTTCGCTTCTTCATGTTCTTCGATATTCGACTCGGTTCAATCTCAGAGCAGTCACAAGTACGAATGTCCTGCGGTGGCAAATGCGAGTGATTTACAGCAAGCATTTTCAGAGCCATTCGAAGTCCCCAGCCCTGGCAGGCAGAGTTTCTCGTGCATGTTTCTTCTCTTTGTGCCGATGGTCGCTCGATGCTTGGCCTGGCCGGCAAGCCGTGCTGTGCTGAACCCGCTTCACTGCCACTTTGGTCGTTCGAGGTCTCGCACCAGAACAGAGCCGGCCCGCCCAGGCACTCCTTCGGCTGGCATAGACGCTTCAAGCATCTATGGGCTTAAATGCATGCAGGATAATTCATTTCTCGTCGAATCCATTTCGATCAGTTTGACACACTGCACTTCCTTGCTGCAGGCAATTGCCTGTGTCGCCAACGAGAGCATGCTTGAAGGAGCCCGCTTGCTTTTAGCTTGAATTGACGGCGATGAATCTATTTGGCAGCGCAGTCTTGTTGCGAGTGCATTGCATCACGAGGACAATTGCGACCCAAGTGAGTGGCCATCACGAGCTGGAAAAGTTGGATCAACTTTCTCTTCGGATTGCAGTAGTGTTGTGAACGTCGGTTGGGATTTACTATCTTGAGATAAACAAGCCAAAAGCTAAAAACAAAGTAACATAAAGCTACAAGGAGAAGGTAAAAGAAAGGTGACCATGTCGAGAGAATGTCAAAACATGCTACAGCGAAAATGCAAAAGAAAGGAAAAATAAAAGAAAGTTAGCCATGTCCAGTACTATCTGAACTTAGACCTTGGAAGATCCTTGAAGCTATTTAATTTCTGCTCTGTTGC